AGGCAGGTGAAACATTTAAGGAGACACTCCCTTTCAGAGTCGCACGCTGCATGTTTGCACTCTGCTGACTGGTGCACAGCCTGTTCCTCTACCGGCCAGGGGGACCGGATCTGCATCTCAGCCTCCAAGCTGGGCGAGCAGCCGGGGTGGGGGCGGGGGCAGGGGCAGCCTCCCACAGCCTCGGGCTCTTCCTTGCTTCCAGGGCACTGCGGGGTGGGGTCTGCTTTCTCGTGTGAGGTTCAACCAAGACTCCTGAAATCGTGTCTCCTAGGTCATAGAGGAAAACATACATGTTTTATTGAAAAACATAGGAAACACTCTCGAATGGACAAGCATGCTTCCAAGGCTCGCTGTTACTACCACATGGAGTATTTCCTTCTGCCGGATGATGGAGAGCCTAAAAAGATTGACATGGTGGTGTTTCCAACGGTGGCCAAATTGTTCCTGGATTCAGGAGTAAAGGTGTGTGTGTGTATGCGTGTGTACCTCACATATACTCTAATACTGTACCAAGGGTGCTTGCTTCCCTGGAGCTTGCTAGAAATGCAGGATATTAAGTTCCCACCCCAGCCCTACTGAATGAGAATCCTCACTGACCTAATAATACGAGTTACCTGACTTTCTTTGTCAGGTAGCTTCTTTGGTGTTTTAAAAGTTTTTGCCCCTCTTACGATTTCTTTTTTGGGTACCCATGTGTGTGCACACCTGCTTGCCCGCGCACACACCTGCCCTCCTGCCCGAGGCCTGGCTGTGGGTCAGTGCTTCGAAGTCACTGGAAAGGGTGCTATTTGCAGGTAAGTGCTTTGATTCTGGGTTCCCGAGGAACCCAGAGGTGTGACAGGGCCCAGGCCGGGACACCCATTTCCTGATGTGGGGTGGGAGCTGAGGGAGGGCTGGGCCCAGAAGGCAGACAGGTGGAGAGCAGCACCTGGCTCTGGTCCCCGGAAGGGCGAGGCTGGCAGGGATGGGTAGTCGTGGGCTCTAAGCCTCCCAGCCTTGCACGCTTCAAACCCCTTGGTGTTCTTTTACACAGACGGTGAGGCCGTGGCAGGAAGGGGACAAAATCTGGGTGTCATGGACCCAGACTTTCAACATCAGCATGACGAAGGAATTACTAAAGAAAATAAATGTTCACAAAATCACCTTGAAGGTCTGGGACACCAAGGACAAGGTTTCAAGAAAAGTCAGGTATTATCGGTTAAAGACTCCTGCATATTCAGAAGACGCAGGATCTTTTGGTAAGTCGGGTGTTTGTGTTTTATTTGAAACGTTTCTACAGGCGTGTGGCTTCTCAGTGTTTACAGGATAAAAGCCAGTGTTCCATCATTTACTTCGGGGAACATGTTACTTTGTGGACAAGCTTGGGAGTACCGCCCGGCAGAGCTGTGTCGGAGGGTGGACAGCATCTGTTTTGCATGTACACGGTCCCCACCTCCACCTCTGCCGCATTTCTGGACTTCCTGTCCCCAGGCAGCGTGACCTGTGCAGTCCCCACTGGTCTGTCTTCTGGCCAAGTAATGGGTGTTCCCTGACCACACACACACACACACACACACACACACACACACACACACACACACGACACCAAGAAACAAAAGAGAAAACCTAAAAGTCCCACACCCCTGAGACAACCATGTTAACATTTTCGTATAGACCTTCTAGATTCTTACTTGGGTGAATATTCTCTCAAGGACCAGAAAGTGTCCTTTTGAGCTCACCTCCAAGGAGAGAGCCAGGAGAGTGGAAAGATCCAGGCTTTGAAGTCAGATAGCTGACTTCAACCTGTCTCCATGTTGACCTTGGGCAGCTTACTACTTCCGGTGGTTTTATGCCCCTGAGGCAGGATGATGGGAGTGCCCCCCACCCCGCAATAAAGAGGGTGTGTGTTGTCTATAAAGAATTTAAAAACTAGGGCGCCTGAGTGGCTCAGTCGGTTAAGCGTTTGATTCTTGATTTCGGCTCAGGTAGTGATCTCACAGTTGGTGGGATCGAGCCCTGTGAACGGGCTCTGCGCTCTGGCAGCACAGAACCTGGGATTCTCTCTCTCCCCCCTCTCTGCTCCTCCCCCGCTTGTGCTCCCTGTCTCTGTCAAAATAAATAAATAAGCATTTAGCATCCTAAAATGCTACCAGTTAACCTCTGTGGCGGTAATCATAAGATGCATCCAGTTTTTAGAGACCTTGAAACGTCGCGGCAGTGTGCGTCTGAGATTGGTCGGAGTACGGTCTAGAGCACTGTTGGTGGTGGCTGCAGACAAGTACAGTTGTCCCCATTTTACAGGGAGCAAAGGAGACCCACACCTGCTTGAAGGGCAAGGCAGTGCTGCAATCAGAACCCATTCTGTTTGTGACTGGAAAGCCTCTCCTTTCTCTGGGTTTCCAGCCTGCCTTCTTGAGGAGCCGGTCTGACAGGGGGTGGGGGGGAGGGGCATTTCCGACTGTTCATCTTTCACTTTTATCTGGGGTTTCTTGCCCTCAGTGCTGTTGGCATTTTGGCCCGGATCATTCCGTGGGGACTGTCCTGGGACCTTGACCTGATAGATGCCAATAGTCTCCCTGTTGTGAAAACCAAAACAAAAATTTAATGTATATTTATTTTTGAGAGAGAGAGAGAGAGAGAGACAGAGCGTGAGTGGGGGAAGGGGCAGAGAGAGAGAGAGGGAGACACAGAATCCTAAGCAGGCCCCAGGCTCTGAGCTGGAGCCAATGCGGGACTCCAACCCACCAACCATGGTGGGATCATGGCCTGAGCCGAAGTCGGATGCTTAACCAACTGAGCCACCCAGGCACCCCATTTCACCTCTTTCTCGTAGCTTCCATTATCTCCATTCATTCATTCGCTCCCTCTGCTCATTCATTATTCCATACGTGTTGGTTACTGCTACGTTCCTGCAGAGTCCTGTATTGATAGAAGTGAAAAACAGAGGACCCATCTCCTTAGCTCGATGCCCTGAGCCCTGAGGGTAGCTCTGGCTTAATAAGTGCCAGCTCTGTGATCACAGGAAAGTTACCATTAAGTGTCATATTCCCCATCTGTAAAGTAGAGCAAGTGGAAGTGCCTTCAAGTGAAATGTGATGATTAAATGGACCAACACAAGTCAAATCCTTAATGGTCTTATTTGGAAGAAGTCATTGCCAGTTGAAGTTTGAATTACCTGGTATTCTGAAGGAGCCCCCTAGGCAACTGCTGCTGGAAGACAGGGTCCTGCCTGTCTTGTCCACTGCCCCATCTGCAGCACTGGGAGAGTGCCATATGCACAGAAGGTGTTCAGTAAGTATTTCTGATTGACTGAGTCAATGATTCTCCTTCTGCATTCTAGAGGAAGTGAAAAATTTGGTTTTAAGTCAGAGAAGATTGTGTGAAGAGGGCGCACACATCAGAAAGGAGTGGAACCAGGAGCATGCACCAGAAAAAGCAGAAAAGGCAGGAAAACACATAAAGCCTTCACATGGTGAGTGGAGATGACCTCCGTGGACAAACTGAGTGTAGGGCGATGGCAGAGAACGAGGTGGATGGGTGTTGCTGGTATTGTGCACGTGCACTGGTACCCTTCACGTGTATCAGCAACTCCTGCTGGTGCTGCTTCGCCCTTGAAGCAAACAATGCTCTCAGGGCAGGAGTCACTTTCTGTTGTTGATCCTTTTTCTTTGTTTTATTTTTGTTTATTTTGTGACTTATACAATTTTTCTAACTGTAGGAGTTACACTTGTAGGTTTTTTTTTTTTTTAAAGAAAATTCAGTGAATATAGAAAAGTACAAAACAAGCAGGGAAAACAGTCTATAATTCCATCACCAGGAACAAGCAGTGTGATATTTTGGTTATTATATTATGGCAAATACCTTTGTTGTAAGTTGTTTTTTTTTTTCTTTTGCCTAGATGAGGTTGTCCCGGATTCCGAATTTTGTATTCTGAGATTAACCTGTCACCACATGCACTTTCCTGTTTACTTAAGAACTTTGCATAAACTCCATTTGTGGTGACTACATAATATATCAGCTGCTGGTAGCACTATACGTTTCTTAATCGTTCCCTGTAGGTGGAAACTTGGGGGTCTTGGAAGTGTTTTCAGTATTCTCTGATGTAAATGGTGCTGAAGCAGACAACTGAATAGACTTTCTTTCTCCCCGCTTCCATGGCATGTTATATAAGAAATTGGAGGCCTTGTCTTGCCTCCATTTGTCCAAATAACTGTAATTATTTACAATTACATTCACTCATTTACTCATTCATTATTAACTAATCTTTTTATGGAATGCTCACCACACACCAAGCCCTCTATCTGGTGACTGGCATTGCAAAATGGGTCAAGGGCCCTCATTTCTTAATGAACTAGAATGGGACAAGAAGTCCATTTACTAATAAATATTATCCGATTCTCGCTCAGCAGAGCCTGAAACTTTTTCCAAGAGCTCCGAGGAATATGACAAGGCACTCCGAATGGATGATCTTGGCACAGTTCGGTAAGGATGGACCCATGTTATTTTGGGGAGTGGGAGTGGAACCCCCTCTTGTACTGGCCCTATAAACTCTCGCCAAGAGTTATGTGGATTTTAGTAACTTCAGTTAAGTCGGAACTCATACAATCCAGGTGAAATTAAAGGAATAGAGAAAGGAATGGTTGTGTTTATGAGTGTAAACATGTACTGTATTTTTGCATGTGTAGTTTATCTCACTTAATCCTCATCGTGGTCACTCTGTGAGGTGGTATTACTGTCTCCATTGTCTTCACAAGCTAACAGAGTGGTGGTAAAGCAATTTGCACAAAGCTTTAAAATTGGAATTCTTTGGAATCTTGGGAGTGTTGGTAAAGCCAGGACCCCATCCCATACCTTTGGATCACCAAGTCCACAGCCTTTCCTGCTGAGTGCAGTTGCTGTTGGAGCCTAAGAAGGATATGGAGAAGGAGATTCCTTGGATGCTGTGGGGACCAGGGTGGAGGCCCAGCTGGTGGCTTGAGAGAATAGGATGGGGAGAACCCAAGAGACCATGTCATTAAAAAATCTCAATTTTTAGGGGCGCTTCTGTGGCTCAGTTGGTTGAGCATCCGACTTTGGCTCAGGTCATGGTATCACAGCTCGTGAGTTCGAGCCCTGCATTGGGCGGGCTCTGTGCTGACAGCTCAGAGCCTCGAGCCTGCTTCAGATTCTGTGTCTCCCTCTCTCTCTGCCCTTTTCCCACTCGTTATGTCTCTCAAAAGTAAATAAAAACATTTAAAAAAATTTTTACAAAATTTTGATTTTTAAAAAATTGTTTTTTTGCATTGAATTTATGCGTTAATTTGGGAAGAATTGACATTTTTACATTGAGAAGCTCTCCTGTCCATGATCATGGTATACCTTTTCACCCAATTCAGTTCCTTCTTTATGATTTTTAATAGAGTTAAAAAATTTTTCTTCCTATAGATGTTGGATAATTCCTGTAAGCGAGTTCCTGGATGTTTTTAGAGTTTGGGTGCTTTTATAAAAAATATAATATTTTCCTTAATGTCTCTGGTTGGTTAGAAATTGATAGTACAAGTGTGGTCTGCAGAGCAACAGCATCAGCATTCCCGGGAACCTGTTAAAAATGTAGAATGTCAGGTCCACTCCAGGCTTACTGAACCCTAACCTGACTTTTATTTAACAGCATTTTCAGGTGATTCATATGCACAATGAAATTTATGAAGCATTGGTTAGAGAAATACAGTGTCATTTAAAAAAATCTGCTCACATTTGGTCCAGTAAATAGATTCTTAGGTCTGGTCCCTGATTTTTTTCACCTTCATTTATTTTTCTCTTTGTGAATTTTCTAGATGGAGTACTTCAAGAGAACCAACTGTTTATTTGGAGACAGCACCTGGGATGGAGATGAAGGAATTAATGGAGAGATCATTTAGCAGTTTAACAAACATAGTAGAAAAGCAAAAATTTCAAAGTAAGTTAGGATGGGATTTTGGAATTTTATAACGTAACTAGACTTGGAAGAATTATGAAATATTTCTTTTTTTTATATATTTTAGAGAGTGAGTGCACATGAGTGGGGGGAGGGGCAGAAGGAGAGGGAGAGAGAGAAAATCTTAAGCAGGCTTCATGCCCAGTATGGAGCCCAACATGGGGCTCGATCCCACGATCCTGGGATCATGACCTGAGCCAAAATCAAGAGTTGGATGCTCAACTGACTGAGCCAACCAGGCACCCGGGATTATGAAATATTTTAAATTCAGAATACTTCAGAAAGATTCTTTGAAATCTGACCAAATGTTACTCAAAAGTAAAAGAATACTACATACACATTCAACTTACCCCATTCTATCTCACCTCAACCAGCCATCCCTACCACCCCATCCATCCATTCCAACCGACCTCATCCCATTCAGTTACCTGCGTGATCCCACCCATCCACACTGCATCCCCCTTCCACTCCACCAATGTTTCTGTGCTCCTGACTCATGGTGTCATGAACATAGGAAGCATGAAAATCTCTAATGTTGATGGAGACTTTCTAATAAATAATGATAGTCCTATGTGATAGATGCTGTGGTAGGGTAGGTAGGCATGTTGGGGAAGCACAAAAGAGTTGGGGTTATGGAAATAATCTTGGAAGATAAGTTACTTGCTTCTTATGGTGGAATAAGGGAAATAGCATTCTAGGTTACAGGAACTGCTCATGCAGCTGCTTGTAATCTTAGTGACAGACAAGAGGCAAAGTGTTGTTAGAAGCCACTAAGTGGACCTGTTCATTCTTGACCTTGTTCTCCTCACCAGTTTTTCAGTAAGCAGTTGGGTTTCCAGTATGAGGTGGAATATTCTAGAGCTGATGCACTTGCTACTTCTGGGATGGCCTACTTCCTGTTTGTTCAGCTGTAACTGCTACAGATCATTTCCTTAACTCTCTATCAATTAATCTGCTTTTCCTGGTTCGCATTCAACACTCTGAAGCTGGGGGAAGAAGTGGCTGCTTGAGTCGGCTCTCTGCCAGGCGTCAGAAACACAGTTGTTCATGTTCCTATTTTTAAGGCCCTAAAAGTCTAGTCAACACTTTCACATCGGAACACCTTCAACTCTGAGTTTTCTCTTTTTCAGATTAAAGAGGCTTGCTCAAAAAAAAAATTTTTTTAACGTTTATTCATTTTTGAGAGACAGAGCAGGGAGGGGCAGAGGGAGAGGGAGAAACAGAATCCAAAGCAGGCTCCAGGCTCTGAGCCTGATGCAGGGCTTGAACTCACGAGCCGTGAGATCATGACCTGAGCTGAAGTCGGATGCCTAACCAGCTGAGCCACCCAGGCGCCCCTAAAGAGACTTGCTTTTTAAGAAAATATATTTATTTATTTCTTTTGAGAGAGTGTGAGAGAGCCCTCCTATGGGCAGGGGAGGGGCAGAGAGAGAGGGGGAGAGAGAATCACAAGCAGGCTCCATGTTGTTAATGCAGAACCTGATATGGGGCTTGATCCCATGAACCATGAGATCATGACCTGAGCCAAAATCAAGGGTTGGCCACTTAATCTGAGCCACCCAGGTGCCCCTTAACAGCCTTGCTTTTGAAAAATATTCTTTAAGCATTTTAATGAGCTTTTCACACCCTCCTTTTTACTTTGTAAAAGTACACAGTAAAATACAACCACAGCTTTCTTGAGAAAGAAAAGTTTACAGATAGAGTTTGTCTCCTTTACACCCTGTGCTTTTAAGAAGCATACCCTGTCCTGCAGATAAATTGGTGTGACCCTTCCCTGCCACCTCTTTCTTTCTGACACATTCATACAACATTGTATTGATTTTTATTTTTGTGAGTCACAGAAATGATTTCATACTGTACATATCTTCCTGCACCTTGCTCTTTGCATTCAGCTTGATTTTTGAGATATTCATGTCCGTATACCTAAGTCCAGCTCCTTCCTTGGAACTTCTGTAGAATACCCCGTTAGATGGACGTGCCATCCTTCACCCATGTAGTCCCTACTGAGGGACATTTGAGTTGTCTCCAGTTTCCTGCTGTCACCAGTGCTGTGACAGTGAGCACTCTTGGGTAGGTCTCCATGTGCCCATGCCAGAGAGTCTAGGGCATTTGCCCAGAGGGATCACAGGGCATGGGAAATGCACGTGGACCTCCTCAGGAGGTATTCAGGTTTATTACTCTCTGGGTGGTACCAGTTTGCTCTCTGGACAGAAGTCCTGAGAATTCCAGTTTTTCCATGTCATCAGCCGTGCTTGGTGTACTCAGGGCCTTATTTCCTGATTCCCAGTGGGGTTGAGAACATCTCATGTGCCTATTTGGTCACCGTCTTATGTGATTTGGCTATTGCGATTTCTTTGCTTATTTTTCTGTTGGGTTTTATATTTTTTTCCTAGCGATGGGTAAGCTTTATTTCTGACATCTTCTGGATAATTATGCATTGTCAGTTACATGCACTATAAACATCACAGCCCGCAGTCTGCAATTTACCCTGTTACTTTATGTGTGCTGTTTTGTTTTGCACACCCTTTATTTGACTATTCCTTTCTAGTTTGTACTTTTGGTAATGTTTAAGAAATCCTTGGGTTGCCTGGGTGGTTCAATTGGTTAAGTGGCCAACTTCAGCTCAGGTCACTATCTCACGGTCTGTGAGTTCGAGCCCTGCGTCGGGCTCTGTGCTGACGGCTCAGACCCTGGAGCCTGCTTCGGATTCTGGGTCTCCCTCTCTCTCTGCCCCTCCCCTGCTCACACTCTACTCTGTCTCTCTCTTTCAAAAATGAATAAACATTGGAAAAAAAAATAAAATCATTTCTCATCCAGATGTCAATAGAGTCTTCTCTGTATTCTCCAAATGAGTTTGAAGTTCTTGTTTTCTATCATTAGTCTGCAATTCATTTTGCATATGGCATGAGATGCCTGATAATTTCATCTCCCTCCGAATGGATAGTCAATATAATTAACCGACTGATCCATCCTTTCCTGCGATCTGAAATGCCACCTCTGGCATCTATTAAGTCCCTCTATGCTAGCAGATGTATTTCTGGGCTTTCTAAGTTCTGTTCCCTTGGTCGTTATATCACAGAACAAATAGCTCATGGTTTTAATTGCCATAGAAATATATTGGTAAAAAATTATTGTCTCCTTTTTAATCCCTGGATCTGAGCTTGGCACAGAGCTGAGTATTTTATGTACCTTTGCTCATTTCCTCTTCTCAACACCCTACAGGGTAAGCACTATAGCTCCCATTCTATAGATTCTACAGATCGAGGCTCAGAATGATTACCGAAGGGGAGACCTGGTTCTGGAACTTTGGTGGTTCAACTCCGAAGCCCAAACCTCAACCCTACACTGTGGTTAAAGGCTGACTTGGGGGAGAACTTTGGTATGTGATGGTGCTGTGGTCATCATCCAATCTTAGCCCCCTTCTGCCCACGTTCTTAGGTAGGAGAGGCTGGGAGGTCACATTCTTCCTGAATGTAACTGATAACTGGTCTGCTATCTACATTTAGACACCTCTTCTGGTTGCTGGGGAACGGCAGCACCAAGGACAGCCTCTGCCTTCAAGGATCTTCCAGAACCTACCTACCTACCTTTCTTTCTTTCTTTCTTTCTTTCTTTCTTTCTTTCTTTCTTTCTTTCTTTCTTTCTTTCTTTCTATTTTATGTTTATTTATTTTTGATAGAGAGACAGAATATGAGTGCAGGAGGGGCAGAGAGAAAGGGAGACACAGAATCCAAAGCAGGCTCCAGGCTCTGAGCTGTCAGCACAGAGCCCGATGCAGGGCTCAAACCCATGAACTGTGAGATCACAACCCGAGCTGAAGTTGATGCTTAACCAACTGAGCCACCCAGGCGCCCCTGTTCCAGAACCTTTCCGAATCTCTGCAGCGTGTAAGAATTCATATATGGTAGCTTGGATACGTGCTCCTCTTAACACTGATTTCCTTCCTTTGATTTTACAGGTAAAAGGAAAGAGTCAGAGGTGAAAAAGAAGAGCCAGAAGAGAAAGAGGAAATCTCGAGTGGAAGACAGTGACTCCAAGGGGGCAGGAAACTGGAAGCACGGAGCTTTCTCTACCGAACTGGTGCTGATGCCGCTCCTCGCAGGTAGTTACACCTGTTCCCAGCAGTTCTTAGTTGTCTGGTCCCACGTGGCTAGAATGTCCATAAACAGGATGCTTGCATTGACCAAGCCTCTCCTCTGCCACCTACTTCCATGCTCACAGCCATTTCAGCAAAATGGAGGTGTCTCCATTACACAGAGGAGGAAAAAGAGGCGCAGAGAGGTCAGCTGGGTTGTCCGAGATCACACCAGCAAGTAAAGGCGAGGCCAGGATTGGAACTCAGGTCTGATTCCGAAGTCCAAAGAAACCTGTGAGAATAACTGCCCTGATTTTGTTTTCTAAATAGGATGCTGCTCTTTATAAACGCCTTCCTGCAGAGTTTTACAAAAACATCTAGTAAAGGAAATGAGGAAAAGGAACCAGTGTTCCTGGCCCATCATTTACTGCTCATGGCAAACTCTGATCCTCCCGGTGAACTTGTAGCTGTGGTGTTGGGCTCGCTCTCCTTTATTCTGTGAGGGACCAAAACTCAGAGAAGTCAGAGCAACCTACTTGAGGTCACAGAGCTCAGTGGCAGGACAGGGGTTTCATTCTTCTGCTTTGTAAGATCTATCACAATTTAGAAATGAGGCTTTCTCTGGCTTAAATAATAAATAGTAGACATGTTATATCCATAGGTTGTGCTCATGGAAAGCTCAGAATATATTTTGGGTAACATTATGTGACTTCGTTTCTGAAATAGTATATGGGGGGAAACCCTTCTCTTTTAGAGAAGGTAATTTTCGAGACTAATTCATTGTAAATTTTTTTTGGCCATCAGGGTAAATGTGCGCCCTCTACTGGTCAATCTGCAGAAATTTAGGCTTCCGTCTTGGGATGGAACCCACCTTTGCAGCTGCTTGGGGTTTTACCTCCTAAAGTCAGTGTCGAGTGACTGGAAAATCATTTCTCATAGGCTCTTGGGTTGATATTGATACAGTTTGAGGAAATACCTTTAACTTTTTAGTTTTTACTTTTAGTTATTTAAAAAAATTTTTTTTTAACATTTATTTATTTTTGAGAGAGAGAGAGTGTGTGAATGGAGGAGGGGCAGAGAGAGGAGGGGACACAGAATCCAAAGCAGGCTCCTGGCTCTGAGCTGTCAGCACAGAGCCTGACGTGGGGCTTGAACTCACGAACTGTGAGCTCATGACCTGAACTGAAGCTGAATGCTTAACTGACTGAGCCACCCAGGTGCCCCTATATGTTTGTTTTTGCCATAAAATAATAGCATAAGACTATTCCAAGACCAGCATGATAATTTTTGGTAATCATCTTCAATTTCAAATTAGGCCATAGGCTTTGCATCCCTGAGTGAAGAATGCTGGTTGGCTAGTAACACATTAAGATTCTAGAAAGATTCTGTGTTTGGAATGAGCTTTTAACTTTCTGTTATTGCATAGCGGAGGGGCCAAGCGTAGCCAGGCAGGACTGGCTTGGACATGGGTTCTGCCACTTATGGGCCAGGAGACCTCGGATGGCGTCTCACCATTTCTGGACCTCGGTTTCTCTATGTACAAAGCAGACATTATGGCGGCCACACAGGGCTGTTCTCAGGATCAAATGGCATGAATGCAGGCTCAGGTCTGGCCGTTTCGGTGCACACACTGTGTGGCGTTCATTCCCCCGCTCCTTTTCTCTCCTCGGCTTGGGCACGTGTGCCTCCCCCCACTCCACCCCCCACAGTGTGAGAATGTATTTTCGTTGTCACAGGTGGGAGCAGAGCGTTAGAGGGTTGCTGCTAACTGCCCCACGATACACAGGACGGTCCCCACAACAGAGAACTCTCTGTCCTCAAGTGTCTGTGGTTTTGAGGTTGGGAAACCCTACCCTGGAATTATGGCTCTCCCTGCCCTAAATTTCTGAATGATGATTTGAGTGCATGTTTGCACGGGAGATTTCTTCTAAACTGGGCAGTCTTTTTCTACGAAGAGGCTTGCAAAGTTCTAGAACGCAAATCATAATTAGTTATGGCCTTAATGAGTCAGCCCCGTTGAAAAAAGAGATGTGGGAGCACTGAGGGCTGCTCCCCTGGAGCTGCACACGGCCCCACGCTCATGGCCTGTGCACATGGCCAGACACGCTGGGCCCATAACTTGTTTTGGAAGTGACTGCTCTTTTCTTTCTTTACTCTTTGTTTTTTTTTTTTT